AAAACTTTCACTCAAACTCTGCAAAGTAATTCGCACCTGGTAAGAATCCAGGGACGTCGACCAGAGTGACAAGTGGGATGTTGAAAGCGTCACAGAAGCGAACGAAACGAGCGCCTTTCACTGACGAGTTGATATCGAGACATCCTAAAAAAGAGAGGATAGAAGCCATTACTTAAGATGTGCCTGCTCCTAGCACGTACCAGCGGCGAATTTCGGATTGTTGCCTACAACTCCAACTGTGCGTCCGTTCATGCGACCAAAGCCGACGACGATGTTCTGAGATCATGAATTCCCGAAATGCTTCAACTACGATGCGTGATTCCTAACATACCTTTGCATAGTCGGGAGCAATCTCGAAAAAGTCGCCTTCATCCACCAAAGCGAGTATAACGTCCTTCATGTTATACGCAGTAGTACTCTCGAGTGGAACAACGGTATCAAGCGATGGAACATCACGATCCCTGAAGAGTTCTATGAATCAACAACACGTCACTCACGAAGCCATCGGTAGGACGGGAATGCTGAAATGGGCGACAGTGTTGCCAAGCGGGTGACCTTCGTTGCGCGCGTCCGTCGTAACTAGGTCACGCCGCGGCCGTCGCACGCGGCGGATCAGCCCGCCATCTTTGACAAACATCGCATTTGGCAACGGAGCGTACGAATTGCGCTTGGTCCACGGTATTCAGCCAAAAGAGAAGATATTACGACAAAGTGCAAATTATTAGCTCCACTGACACTTGGTGGTGCTTTGATGTCATCTCGAGACCTCAGCTACCTTCGACGGACGCGCGCAACAGATGTTCTCTTTGCCGGGCTGAAGGTGTTCCTCTCACTGGTGGTTTGCCGATCTGCACGACTCATGTACATCCAATGAGGAGCCACCACGCTACAACTGGCTACACCAACAACTTTTGGGGAAACCTGCACACCCACTTATATGACCAGTGAACATTACCATGGATCGTCGCAAGATCGGATGGGCGCTGGGTCCTGATTGGATAGTGGGAGGTAGTTCACGAGCTCACGCATGCTCATCAATGCATCCACATCATTATCGAAAGCGCCAACAGCCACACCTTTAACAGTTCCATTAGCTAGCAGTTTCAAGATCAGCTACCTAACAGAACTTCGTACCAGATGTTACGGTGTGAGTCTTTGCTCCACCGAGCTCCTCTTGAGTCACTTCCTCGTTAGTAACAGCCTTTACGACGTCAGGACCGGTGATGAATAGATAACTCGTGTCGCGAACCATGAACGTGAAGTCGGTGATTGCGGGTGAGTAGACGGCTCCACCGGCACACGGTCCCATGATCAGTGAGATCTGAGGTATGACACCGGACGCCATTACATTAGACTGAAAAGGAAGCACATCAAGTGATCGCTGAATATAGCAACACCTAAGGGTCCGTACCTGGAAAATATCGGCATATCCAGCAAGTGATTCAACACCTTCTTGAATACGTGCACCACCAGAATCATTGAGACCGATGACGGGAGCTCCGACAAGCATCGCCTCCTGCAACATCCCTTCTCCTGAATCTAATCACGATACAAATGAGACGACCACCCCTTACCCTCATGATTTTACAGATCTTCTTAGCATGGATCGACGACAACGAGCCGCCGAAAACGGTAAAGTCCTGCGAGAAGACGTACACGTTGCGACCATTGATGTGACCGCGTCCAGTAACCACAGAATCGCAGGGGAACTGAAACATTCTGGTCTGCTTTTGACACGCAAGAGCCATCTTTACAAGGGTACTGACTTTCTGCTTCTGCATGTTGAAGTCGGTACACGTATGTTCGGCAAACATGTCGTACTCGCGGAAGGTGTCCTTGTCCAAGAGCAATTCGATCCGTTCGCGAGCTGTCAGCTTTCCCTGAACATTCCGCGGATGAAAACGACGTAAACTACCCAGTTAGGGTTACGTAATCGTCAACGTACTCGCTCATGTTGCTTTTCGATTCTCTTTTGTCCACCACCGAGTAAAGCTTTCGCTCGGGTCTTCTCAATGTGGTCCGCCACTTTCACCGTGTGCGCGATTGTGCTCGTCATACGAGCGATCTGGAACAGGACTTTATACGTTCGCCTTCCTAGCAATATCATCTAGCGTTCACCTTCTGCACACCATAACTGCACCCAAGCAATGGATTGGCGAACCTTGAGACGAGCATGATCGAATTGCCTAAACACATTATGAACAACTAATCAATAATAGTAATAATAATATTAAAACAATCAAATGTGGTATATGGATGTAGGATAATGGTAGACTACGTGGTTGAGAAGCCGAGACATCTAGGAGAACGCGCCAGGCTCTTCGGGAGGGGCACTCTCTCAAACCTGAGCGTTTCCACCCAAACGCGAACCAATCCCAACAGTGAAGGGTCCTTACTGCACCGAATCATAGACTGGACCCTCCCTTCCTGAACTTTCAAGCAGCTTCTTGCATAGTGACGTAGTCAG